GTAGAGCAGACACTGGCATGCCATCTCAGGTGACTGTGCCCGAAGGTGGCCAGGATCCCATGGGAAGAAGCAGCCCTGGATGTTGTAATTTAGTGCTGGGAGGATTGCAACACACGGGGGAGACCCATGCCGGAGCAGCTTGGGAAGTGCTACAGCCTGTGGGAAGGACTCAAGTTGGAGGAAATTTGTGCAGGACTCTCCTGTGAGAGGGGGACCACACTGGAGCAGGGGGAATAAGTTATAGAAGCTCCCCCCACCGAAGATGGAAGGAGTGGCAGCACTGACTGCACCCCCCATTCCCTGCCCCTGAGCCACTGGGGGAGGAGGTAGAGATATCGGGAGCAGAGCTGAGCCCAGAAAGAAGGGAGGGGTGGGGGAAGATGTTTTCAAGATGTGGTAATGCTTCTCACTGTCCTACCCTGTCTGTTAAGTGTTGTTGTTAGTGTCTGTATTAAATTTATGTTCTTTTTTATTTCCCCTAACAAGTCTGTCTTTTGCCCGTGACCGTAATGGGTGAGTCATCCCTGTCTGTCCTTATCTCGAATCCTGAGCCTTTTGCTTCATTTTCTCCTTCTCAGAGCTGGCAAGGAAAAACAGTGTAAGCAGCTGTGTGGTGCTCAGTTGCCCTCTGAGCTCAAACCACAACACTCTTCCATTAATACAACTCAGTTAAACGGATGTGATATCAAGATCTAAAGGCTCGATGGGACTTTCCAGTATGAACCTGATTCCCATGTAGCTCTAGAGTAATGGACATTAACTGAAGTCTATTAATAACAACATAAAATCTCCAGTAAATTCAAAGATTTTGTATCATGCCCTATAAAAAAATTCTTTTTAGAAAAATACCTGTGTGGAGACAAAATGGAGAAATCAAAGCAATAGATTGCTAATACCCCTACTAATGTACGAGTAATCATGACTGCAACAGCAGTTGCAGATCATAACAACCTCAATGCAGTTCCTGTAAGGTGTAGGTTGAAGTACTTTTTCTTCCACTTTCAGTGACTTAGTGCAAAAGAAAGAGTATGGCCCAAGGAAACAGATGGAAAAACATTTCTGACAGCTTAAGTGCAGTTAATTATTTGTAGGCGAAGCATTCTGCTATCAGCACTGATTTGCTGTATTTGAAACTGAAACAGTCATAGCAGCAACAATTCTATTCAGCATCGCTGCAATTACCTGACTATATATAGGACAGGCAGAACCACAGAGCAACACCTTACCAACAGGGCTGCTTTTTCATCGCCTCCAGAAACAGGCAGCTACAGGCCAGCACACTGTGCAGCTACCCCTTTGGTAAGCAGCCCATTCAGGTCTCATCCTCTCAATTTTTTTCCATCTCCTACCTTTTTCCTTTAAGCAGAGTCAACAGTTACAGAAGAAAAAAATAAAAAAAAAAGGCATTATATGTATGGAAAGATTTCACAAGCTAGGTATCACCATTCTCACTTTACAGATGGTGCAAATGAGGAAAATGAATACTCATATAAGTGTGTGCTCACTGCACACCCGTTCAAAGGAGCAGAGGAAGATGACATGCTTTCTTAAGACTTTTGTGGGATTTAACTCTATCACCAGAGCATGTGAGAGAAGAAAACTACTGCTCCTAAGTAATGACATTCACCCTTCCAGAAAAAGAGACAGGAAAGGAGCAGAGTTGGGGAGGAATCTCTAGCCTCCACCAATCAACAAGGAGGAACTGGAAACAAAAAGGATGGCAGAGATTTTTTCCTCCCTTAAAAGTGTGACATGGAGAAGAGACTGCCTTGTGATCAAATATCACAGCACTTTTTCTGTTCTTCATCAACAGCTATGCAGTTCGTTACTTCCCATGCTTTGGTCAAAGTATTCCTAGCTTGTGTTTAGCCAGACACATGGCCAGGGATTAAGAGGGCAACAGGTATCTTGTATCCCTCATTCTTCCCTCCTCCATTTATGTTTCTTCTCTTATAATATGGCTGCCAAGCCTAACAGGGAAAGCAACAAATCTGGTCTTGAGAACATCCACTATAGGTGAATGCAACTGTTCAGAGACCAGACCAGACAGCCACAACACAGAAAAATCCAGGGTAGATTTCTGGAATTTTTACAGTAATCCTACACTTCCTGTTACATAACAGAGCTATTTGACTTTAGAAAAAAAAAAAAGGGGGGGGGGGTTGTTTTGTACCCTGTGACAAATCCAGAGAAACAATCCTGACGTTGTAAGAAAATTACTAATTTGAAAAACAGTATGAATATGGTATTGAAGTTTACCTGCCACTAAAGCAGCACCACCACATCATGGTTCAGCACTGGAGTGCAGCCAAGCAGTGGCAGTCTGCTGGAGTAACCCAGCAAGATACTGCAACCCACCTGGCTAACAACACAGCGCAAGGAACATGCTGTGGGCTGTATCTCACTCTGCTGTCTGTGAGGTCCACAGCACTATCAGCTTCCTGATACTGCCAGACACCTTACTCAAGGTTGAAGATACCGTGTAAGGTTGGAGATACCTGCCTCACATTAAACTTCCTCCAACTAATGCTTTGGCCAGTTTCATGAATTATTTCTGCTCAGGAGAAGTTTCACTAAATTCAATGAAAGGGAAAATATCTTCATATTAAACAATTTTGACTTTAAATTAAGATTTTTCTTGAAGAGAAAAAAAAAATGCTACTGGGAGCAGTAGGATTACTTTTCTGAATAAGGGTTATTGGAAGGAACTGAGAATGTTAGCTTTCATTGTCCATTCATAGTAAGGACTAGTTAGAGTAAGATACTTTCCAGAATACTCTGAACAGTGGTGATCATCCATTCTTAAGAAAAATTACTTTGACTGGAAAGACAACAGAGAAATCCTTTAAAGACATGAAGAATGGAGAGCTTTTATCCGGGAGGATGGAAGAAGAGATAGTTCATTGCAAACACAATGGAGGCTGGAAAGGACTGCTCTCTCTATATATCAGGGTCATAAGCATCATGAGATAAGGTGCATTTAGGCTAATGTTGGCTCAGAAATAAGTGGAATAAATTATCCAAGAATAAATTAACTCTGGAATTGCAGAAATACTTTCTAGTACCCAATCAGCAAGATCCTGGAAATGCTTGCTTTTAGCAGTAGCAGGATCAAACAAACTGTTCTGCTTTCAAGTAGGGTTTGATAAGTGTATTGATGAAGTTGCCTGAAACTGAGAAATTGTTTCAAATGACCTAGCACATCCATTCAAGTATTATGTCCTCAAAGTCACCTGAAGCTACATACAGAAGACCTACATATGTAAGTGCTTCTTGTGCAAAGTCAAGAATTAGATGCCAATGCCAGTTACAAAAACTCATAGAGGTTCTACCCAGCCTTGTAGACAAGCAATTGACCGGCTAGCAGTCTAGCTCATGTCTAAATCTCAGGATTTGAAAACTGTGTTTTCAGGCAAGACATGATCATGCTTTCACCCATTCATCCTCACAAAAAAATTCCAGGCCTTTCAATGAAACTGACTTCAAAGCACGTGTCTGGTATGTAGGAAACCTGAATTAATTTATTTCCACCTCCTACATATCCTGGGAGAAGCCTGGAAAGATTCAGTCACCTGTTCAGAGTTGAGAGTTTTATGAGGTAGCAAGATATCTAGAAGTGATTCACTGTGATTTGTTCTTGTGAATCTAGTTCCTATACTTCTGTAGAACTAGATGCTTTAGTTGGGATGTAGAGAAGAAATTTAGTTACAATCATCAGCTTTTTATGCGTTGTGCATTAATTATACCATGGCAGCAGAGCTTTATCAGTTAGCTCTGTAACAACCCAGTGAAGTTTCTTGGCTCAAGCACACTCCAAGTGAATACACCTATATTGCTTGCAGGATCATTGTGATTTCAAGAGCAGTTTAGCCACTTCTGTAGTGTGTACAATCCAAACTTCTGAACCATAAGAGCCCAAATTAGCATCCCAAGTAACCTGATTTGGCAGTCTTGTTTTGTGCTTCCTCAACTGGTAATGATACGTTGTAAGAAGTTAAACTACATCCACTAAAACTTACTGGCTGTCTGTACTTGTAAATTAACGAATGTCTGCACCTGGGACAACTTGATCATCTAAATATTGTTAGAATGACCCCTGGTATAATTTTTGTGCAGGCCAGCTAGCACTCTTCCAAGCAATGTCTAAGCATGACTGGGGAGTTGGCATGGTCCAGGGGCAGACAGTTTGCATGCAGCAGCTGTGCTTTGCAGGCTAACAGGATTTAATTTTGTTAACGTAGCCAGATGAGAGCAGAAAGAGTCTTGGCACTGTACACATGCAGTAACTCTGGCTCAGCTTGGACCTTGCTAGACATAAGATGTCTCCATTCAGCCACTGCTTCTGCACCATGCTCTGAAACAGGGTATGTCAGCACAGAGGCAGTGCTGAATGTGAGACTGCATCTCTCCTGCTCAAGTCCTGTGCCCAAATTGAAAAGTCCTCAGAGTTTTGTCCAAGAAAAATCTATTGGCTTTTAATAGCCAGACCAAACTCAGCAGGGCCAACAATGAGCTAGTGCTAACAAGACCAGCTATAACCAAGCTGGGATACAGATGGGCCTCTCTGCACTGTTCTCTGCAGCATCCCTGGCAGCAACGTACCTTATTAGCTCATTCACAATGCATGATCCAAGTTGGTCTCTGTGCAAGAACTGGTGTTAAATCTTGATCTTACAGGTTTGCCTACTACTCAGAGCATCAGTGGCTGCATTGAAATACCTTAGTGACTTTGAGGGAACCAGCCCTGGTCCACTAGGTTCAGCGTTGAAATATGTTTAGCAGCAGTTCTGGACACTTGATGCCTTTGACCTGTCAAACAAATGGATTAACCTAAAATATAAATAGAGTATTTATGTAGATGTCTATTTGTATATACATATGTATATATATAAAGATATACAGCCCACATTTGAATTTAAATGAGAATTATATGATAAAATTTAAAAACTTTTAAATTATAAAAAACTGAACATCTTTCAATAGAAACCTCATACAAGACAAAAACATTTTGTACATTTGTTTCAGCTTAAATTTGACAGCAGAAATAAAGCTGCAAAACAGAATGACGGACCATGATAGCTGGTCCAGTATTTTGTTATCCAGCATTGTGATGAATATAATACCTATGTTACAATCCTCCTTCACATATGTAGCTTTTGAGACTCTATTCTGATAAGTGCTTGGCATGATTAGGTGAAACCCTGTGTATTTATATATATATATATATATGTATCACTGTATGTTATTGGTGCATCACAGATGAAGTACAGAAATATACTGGATGTTCTCCTAGAGAAATAGCGTATCATTAGAAAACAGAACACTGCAACTGCAAATTCTTTTGCTATTGTTGTTATGCGTGGGAAAAAAACAAACACTGAAGCAATTTCCACAAGACTTGACATCCTCGTTTGATTAGTGTCATGTGAACATCCCTGCAGAATGGTCACACATCTGAATTCCAGTTGGTGCTCATTTTCAGAATGTGTTGTAGAGCTGTTCTTTCTGTATAAGATGATCTTGCCCTCTGCTTCCTCTGTTCAGAACAGGCATTAAGAAAAGAAACTTTGCTCCCTGGAATATAGTAGGGACTATAGTCTACAATGAATCCACTAAACCAAGCAGCATTAACCCTGGAAAGGTGAATAGTGGTGCAACTTAGCCCACCTTGTTGCATTTTTGTTTTGTTTTGCTTGGGTTTTGAAAATCATTTACTGCAACACAATGAGAAACAGGAGAAAACACAGTCAACTCAGCCATTCTCCCGTGTTATTCTGCTTCTTCTTGCTGGAACTCTGTTTCATGTACTCTATTTACTTCTTGGGTTCAAAGTCTTCCTCTCTTTGCTTTTTTTTTTATTAATCATGCATATCTTGGCTCACTTGTTCTTGTACCTCCAGCCTTTGTTGTTTTCAGTCTTTAATGATGATCTTTCAGTTATGAGCTCACCAAAGTGTAGATCATGCTGAACGTAAAAGAAAGACAGAATATGAAAGTATCCTTTTGAAGCATACAGAGCGCTTTGATTTTTATAACCCTTTACTGTCTGTCCCTCAGGTCTGACTGTAATGGCCCATGCTTTCCTTTGCATTCTTTCTATCTCTCTAAAGCATCTTAATTACGGTGTATTCAAGACGGGTATCAAAAAGCACTCAAGAAATAACAAATTCATTATCGACATCCTACTGCACCACAAGCTGTGTTTGAGCTTATTAAAGTGTAGTCTGATGCCTGAATTTGAACAGTGAAGAAACAAAACCATTTTGCTTTAGCATGTTTGATCTTTAAAACTTCAACCAGCAACTCTCAGCAGGGCAGGCAAGGTTTCCCATGAAACTGCATTATTTTGTTTCCTTTGGAAAAAACCCCATGCAGTAGAAGAAACATAAAATGCAGATACCAGCTGGAGTGAATCCATACATACTAAATGCAACTCTGAAAAGAAAAGAAATTGCAATATATTGCTATGGCTCCATTTCACAGCAATTCTAATTCTGACAATATCCAGGAAAGCACAGCAAAATTGAATGTAGTTAATACTGTTTTATTTAGCACCAGGCAGTGGATTTTGGATTACAGCCACATTTTAGAATGAAGGAAGCAAGACTCAGAGGAAGCTGCACAACAGTAGACTCCTATGCTACAGCAAACTGCACAGCTGACTTTGACAGGGTCTTTTAGACATCACAAAAATGTGGAGTTAAAAACGCTTCTCTCTCAAGCCATGCCTTGTCATCTCTCCTTGCACTACCAACAAGAGCTTCTCCAGCATAACTACCAAGCTTTCCACTCTCAGCCCCGTGAAGAGGACTGGTGGGCAAAGGTGCTCAGCCCAAACCCACAAAGCTACTGGATGCTAAACTTCTGCTCAGATTCTCATGCCCCGTCCATCCTAGTGTGAATTAGGCACCTACCATCTTCTGTGAGACTGGGCCCTTCTACTTTCTCTCTCTCATGTATGCAGACACAGGCACATACACATGCACATGTGGACAGAAAACTCTTTTCCATAGTATTTAAAACTAAAATTGAGAAACAATAGCCTGCAGCAATGACTCCTCAGGATATGAGGAACAACAGAACAGATAACGGACCAGTAATCAAAGGAGAAATAACATTTATCTTCTTCCACCAGCACATAAGCTTGCCTTACAGGGGGATTACTGCATGCAAGACTGGCTTGAAGAGGTACTCTATGCAAATACATTATGGAAGAAGGAGTAGAAGAAAGGCATCATAAAAGAACACCTCCATTGAAAGTGTGTTAACCTTTGTTGTCAAGTAGTTTTATGATGTGATTGCAGCAGTGACTAAAAGCACACAGATTCTGTCAAGGCCTTACCTTAAATATGATACTCACATACTCTTGCACTGGGCATTTGTGACTGTGCACCAAGGACATCTGACAGCTAAAAGGGGCAGGGGGACAACACACAACTGGGGTCCGTATCTTCAAGATGGTATTTAAATTAGGGGTTTGGACCACACACAGGCTTACTCTGTCATGAAACGGATTGTGTAGGAATGACTACAGGCATGGTGCACCCTGTGTTCCTACCCACTGTTGACCATTTACTTGTCATCTTGAGCATCACTGCACCAGCAGATGTAGTATTTTTCTTATGATTCTCTTGAATAATAAGAACATTATCATTTTCATATGATGTAATGTCATTATCATAACATTTGCTATTTAACCCATTCTAAGAGACTATGCAGAGGAGGAAGAAGTTTTTTACTTTGGGTTGGCCCTGAGGCCTGGCTCAGGCCTTGGACAAACGCTTAATGTTCTGTACTAAGGTGTCAGCAGATATAAGCACATGCTTCTGTAAGTGAGAATGCTTCCCTGAATCAAGTTCAGAAGCAAGGTTTATAAGACTAAGGAAATGGGCCAGTTGGTTCCAGCCATTCTTAAATACAATTTCACATTTCAACTGAAAAGCAGCTAATATTTCCTTAGTGAGATGACCAGACTTACCAGTACAGATAGTAGAAGAAGGAAAGGAGATAGAAAGCTAGCTTACACCAGGCCTCTTTTTGACAGTAACTCAAGGTATCTGCATTCATGACTGCAGGTGGATCATATGCTAGCTCTGAACTATCTGCTGGGCAACGAAAATACCTGAAAGAGTAGGAGAAGACATCTGGAATGACTCTGTAATATTGTGTATTAAATATGTGCACATATACACCCTACTGATCACCAGCTCAGAGGACAACCATTTTCTATGATACAAGAGAATTTTCCTCTCTTTTTCAAGCCTCTATTTCTGGACGCTGTTAAAAGACTGTTCTTATACAACCAAGCAACTCATGAATGTGGACTTTCTGTGTTCTATTAATTCTTTAGATTGAAACATACCCCCTTCCTATATAGTTATTTCTGGCTTACTTACTAACAACTAACATATTGTGAGTGACATTATGTGGCAGCTTGTGATCACAGCATGGAGGAAGGATTACTGGGCTTTAACTGCATCTACACAACTGATTTCAGACATGATGAAAGGTGACAGTCTCAACCAACTGATAGCTCAGTTCCTCCAAATCTGAAAGGAAAAAAGTCAATATGGAGTAATGTAAGAGCTGGCTGACTAATGTTTTCTACATATAGCACTGCTCAAAAATTTTTCATCCAATAATTTTAATTGGAAAACGTTTTTCTTCTCACACAGGAGAAATTTCTAATTATTCTCATCGATTACTGGATGTTTGAGAAAACCCTGACAAAAGAACTTTTTTGGCAAAGGAGCTTTTGTCTCTTTACTTTGCAGTAAAAAGCAGAAGCAAACCAAAAAAAGAAGTCGAGAAAGTTAATAAGTTGCTTTAAGATCAGCATGACTCAGATGAAATACTGTTATTTTTGTTGCTTTGAAACAGTAAACACTGAAGATTGTTGGGATTACTTATAGGTAAACAGACAGACAGATAGATATAAAACCCCCAAACAAGTGACCACCAGGAAACTTGGTATGCAAATGTTCTCATAATAACTTTTCATTCCTCCCTTTCAATATTAGCCACATCCACTTACAATCTCTAATAACATTACAAATTCTTTTACAGATACCACTGATGAAACCTTGCTTAATTATCTTCATTGGGATGAACATATTACATAGTATCTTCCCATGGCTTTGTGCAGGACTTTATCAATGAACCCAAACCAGTCTGTGGTTAAACCAGCAGAAATTATGGGGTAATTATAGCAAAGTATGTGGAGAATCATGGAAACAAATACAATCAAAAGTTCTCTTCAAAGGATAATACCATTATTTAGAGTCTAACTGTTTCCACCATGGACATAAAGTAAAATTTTAAAAATTTGTTTTAAAAAACTTCTTAAACCAGTATTATTGTCACACTTTGATTGTTAGCCCTTAGTAAAACAGCACCATAAAACATTATTATTGCACCAAACCGATAGGAAGAAAAGTACTCGTAGCTTCATCTAATTTAGATTTCTGAGAACTATACTGGCACTGAATGACACACTTTATCATATGCCTCTCCAAGCTTTTGCAGAAAATAGTGTAGAAAAGCTACTACTTTTTATCTCCTGGTTGAGATAATGGTTTTGTCTTCTTTACAGAACTATTCTTCAGGCTACTTCGCAACAGGAGATATCTGCTACCACATGTATCTTTGTAACACAAAGAGAACGTGACAGACAAAAGTCATCTGTGCTTTTACAAATATTGTGGAAATGCAAATCTAGTAAAGACTCCAGACTGACAACCACAAAAAAAGATATCTCTTGGTTATCTTCAGAGGCAACAGAAGGCTGATCCTCTACTAGAATGCAGAGGAAGATGCAGCAGCAGCAGCTGCACTGCCTGTCCAAAAAAAAAAAAAAAACATTAAAGCTACTCAACAGCAGGTCCTACATGATCAATTCTGAAAGCCTCTCAGTGAATAGAAACACAATGCAGAAATCCAGAGCAGAAACACTCCCCACTTTTTCATGTGGGCAGGGTGAAGACAACAGCTCTTCATCTACTGCAATCCCTACATCAAGAGTCTCTAAGAGACCTCTCTTGCAGAACAGAAATTCTCCACTGTACAGCAATAAACAACTTATTTTATAGTGGAAAAAAAAAAAAAAAAAAAAGCACGAAGCTGCCAAAGAAGATGAAGATGAGAAGCAAAATTCTGTCAACCTGTCCAGTCTTTATTTTACAACCCCAGTGGAAAGGTTTCCTTGCTGGGGCTGAATGAATCGGTCCAGTATTTTTCAGATATGAACTACCTTACAACTCCCCATATGTGAAGTATTTAGAGCCTCACCAAGTTCCACTTTCAAATTCTAGCCTACTTAATTTCCAAGTTTTCATTCGGTTGTGGTGAGTGCATCCTGACACCCTTCAGAATACTAATCCAAGTCAGTAACGCAAAACCATGTTTATATTATTATGTGTTTTCTTTACCCCTCCCAAATGTTCATGAAAAATATTTACTTTTTCTCTGGAAACATAAGTTTCAGCTGCTTCTAGGCAAAAGCTGCTAGGCAAAATACATTCAGCCATACTCTTTTCACTGCACATCATTGTTCATACGATCTGCATGTGTGCTGAGCTGGCAAATAAGGCTAACAAGCAGTGAGCATATAAAAGATGGGCTTACCTCCAGAAGTGATAAAAAAGCAAAGGAACATTTAACCCCAGCGTGAGCCACTCTTGAGCACACAAAAACATTATGCAGAAGAGACTATGGATAGAGTACTCCGGCAACACCAACTAAAAAGAAAGGAACAGAAATAACAGATGTCAGTAAAACACCTTTTTGGTTTTAGCCATTAGTTGTTTTCAGAAAACAAACCATGTCTGCAAATCTCCCCTGTGTCTGTCCCTGGACATATCTCAGTTGACAGACAGCTTGACTATGGGCAATGAGCACAAGATGCAGTGCCACGTTTGTTCAGGTTCTAACCGTGGCTGTACTCCAGGGGCTTGTTGAGAGGCATGGGACAAACCACTTAGTGTCTTAGCTGGTGCTCCAGATTCCTGTCCACAAAATGTAGATTATATTACTGCCTCCCTCACAGAAGCATCATGAGACTAAATAGGTGTCTGTAAAAGAGTTCTTAAAGAACTAAGTTTCATTACTGATGCATTCAGAAAGGAAACAGTAAAGCTATTACTGAAGCTTCCCTTCTATATTGGAGGAATGTCCTTGGAAAAACAAAAGGTTGCTTCTACTATTTTGATATGTTATATACACCCTGAAGAGATCAAATCCATTACTAAGTCAGCATTGCAAGCTAAAACCCACTACGACAGGAAACTCACTTCCTCAGTAAATCCATGGCTCCTCACACTACTTGTTTCAGACCCAAGATGATTCTTTCTACTAAAAGAGAAAGTGAGTGGGCAGCTGGCAGAAGCAGAAATTTGTGATGTTGATTCAGAGTAGTTATTTCTAAAGGCATTTTGCTTTTTTCACTGCTTTCCCATTTCTTAGCTGGCTTTCTTTTCTTGTTTTCTTCCAATGCCTTTTCTCAAAAATCTCTATTTCTTTTCTTCAAGTCATAGATGAGATTAATTTCCAGCAGAACATACTTCTCAAAGCTAGACAATCCCATACACAGTTTATCTGCATCTCTTGCTGCCTCTTGGAGCTACATCAACCAAAGTTAAATCACAAAAAGCATTTGAGGGGCTGCTTCTGATATAAATTAATTTTCATCTGTCAAATAATTTAAGTGAGCCCTATTTTTTAAAACAATGTAAATCCTACTATACAGCTACTCCCAATGCCTACCTACTCCCACGAAGCTGTACTGCAATAAATTCCATCTTCTTGGTTCTAGAAGTATTTCCACCTCACATGAAACATATTTTTTTGTTTTCATTTAACTTCACTACTTGAAATAATTAACACGTTTGGATATCTCTGTGTCTATGCCTTCAACTTAAAAATTCTCAAAAGTTTATCTTATGTGGATGACAAATCATAATACAATTACACAGTTCAGATTCCAGATGGTAGTTATTTATCACTGCTGGATTTTTTTTTTCATTTTTAGAATGCGATTTACAACATGACTATAACCTTTCCCTAAAGAATGATTCATCTTCATCACAAATTGCAGACAAGAAAGGTCTTCATGATGTACATCTACCCACTAAACATCACAACACTTAAAAGTATATTACATTCATTATCAAGTATTTGATTTCTGATTTCAACATGATCCACAAACTTAGCAAGAACATAACCCTGGTGCCTGATCAGTGGGCTGGCTGGCAATAACAGGGAAGGAAACCCATGGTGAAAATTATGCAGAGCTTAAAAAACAAAACAAAACAGAAAGTCTGCTGTGAAGCTAGAAAGGAAACAAAGGAAGCAGTGAAATTTCAGAAACAGACTCACTTTCCAGTCACAGTTTCTGGTGCAAATTAAATCTAACTATGCTTTTGATAGAACAACAAATGGGCCATTTATGTCTCTTCAACCTTTTATTGGAGTGATATTTTCCTGTGGACATAAATAAAGGATCAGTGCTGATCACAGTTTCTGAAGAGAATTCATGCAAAGAAGCAAACAAAGCCCAGCCTACAAAGCCAATTACAGTTTATATTCAGGCAATTTACCTAAGAGACCAAATCTAAAAGGAGGTGAGAGAACTGAAAGCATAAAGTGTAGAAAGGCAGGAACAGCAAGGCTTGTGAGGAAAAGTAAACTGATTAACTAAATAACAACACTGCCCCAGTACTTGGCTGTAAGAGTCATACTGCAGTTTGACAACAATGTCCTCTAAAACCAAAGGAAACTTTCAATCAGCTTTAGCAAACACAGGATTCAGCTCCTGGAGAGAAGAAATCTGGCTGGGAAACAAGCAACAGTCAATCCTTGTTGTTCCTGCTGAGGTAGTTAACTGCAATAGTAATTTCTGTGATACAGATAGCTGTGCAATAGGAATTAAGCTAAAGTCTTTAATTCATTCATGGGGGAGCATATGAAGCTGTCAGATGGTAAACATGTTAGGATATAAATAGTAGACTTCTATTTTGAACCAGGACCACCCTGATTCAGAAAATGACCTCTGCTTTCTGACACAGCTCAAGGGGAAGTCTTGAGATGGTTAAAGAACATGGAGTTGAAGGAGGAACTGGCAAAGTAGCACAATTCTTAAGGGCTGCAACTTGGTCACTTTGAATCCCAAGCTAATGGCATTACAAGTTTATCATCAGAAATTCTGCTGGCTGAGATTTACCTGTGGAAAACCACAGGAAAAGGAAGCCAGATTCTAGACCAAAATGCTGCTAATCAGAAACACCTTTTGCTGTAACATAAGCAAGGGAAAGAAACTACAATACCTTTCTAAGTTTTGGTCTGATATGTATAGTTAAGTAAATATCCGTTATCAGTAAATATTCAAAATCCTTATCCACAATCTATCATTTGCATTTAAAACGTAAAATCTTAGGTAGATATCATACTCATATCATTACTGTCTCATCATAAATATTCAATACATCCTCATACAAAGTAGTACACACATACATGCACACGTAGATAAATTCTTCCCCTCTAATTCCAAAAAAAATAAGGCAGGCTTTGCTATATATAGACATCTAGGTTTGGCTGAACTAAAGCATGGAAAAACAAGCACTGAAGCTAAGCACCTGTCAGCAGCTTCTTTATGTTTATATGAATACAAAGACCTCTGCAGATAGCAACTGCAGAAGGGCATCTCTCGGGAAGTTCAGTCCTAAATAATTTTACACAGTTTCTTATTTCCTAAAGATACTCTGTTGTTCTTATACAAAAGATAAACCCATCTTTTTCTGTCAGTACTTTTCCTCATTCTGTTTATTACATATGGATACCTCCTCAAATGTAATTTTGCTTTTGCAGAATATTATATCATTTTTACATGGAATGACTCTTACACTTTGTCTTGCCAGGGAACAGGACATATAAAATCCCTTGCAGAAACCAAAACTGGGAAGATATTATAGCAGGAATAGTAATCTCCCTTCATTAGTGCTATTAAATTCTCACGCCTAGTAAATGAACTGCAAGAAGTGAATCAAACTGTTTTCCCAGTCACTGTTAAGCCACTGAAATGTCAAGACCTCATGCTTCTTTCCAGCACTTTGCTTAGGACCAACACTCCCTAGTGCTACGCAATAACAGTAATTCTCACAGAATTGCTGTTTCTTCCCGCAAAAGACTCTGAGTCTACATCAGTCTCCATCTGTGCATGCCAGCCTCTGTACTGTAACCACAGATCTTACACTGTACGCAAAAATTGCCAGCCATTAGACACTCTACCCTTCCCAGGGTTTCTGAGAGTCTTCATTATGCTGTTAGAGGCTGAGACAACTTCTCTTCTTAATGCCTGACATCTCACCCCACAGATGGCAGGAAAAAAACTGCAGGGAAGTGGAAGTTGAATCTCCTTCATGTAATGTAACATCTCTGGTGATTACCCAAGTGGAAACAAATTGTTCACCTTACAAACACAGAGGGCCTTTTCCATCCACCTAAAAGCAACAAGAAACTGAAAACACCATGCATGCATTGAATCACCTCAGAGCCCCATATTAGGCCTGAGCTAAGCACAGGCTGCTTTATTGCAGTGGCTAACGTGCTGCACGTCCTTCCACTAAAGGATGGCCACATCTTGCCATTGTGGTGCTCACTCTGCTGTTTTTTCCACCATATCTCTTGCTAAAGCTGACGTGTAGAATTTTTCCTCATCAGTAGAAGGGAAAGAGGCAACGGACATGTACCCAAGGTTTTCAGAACACAAGAGTTACTTTAATTATACTTTAAAGCCCTCCCTAACAGAGCCTGCCAGAGCTAACCCAGGTTACTGAGGAGTATAAACTGCTGAATTAAAGACATTGTGAGACCAAAGGAAGACAATTATTTACATGACTCTGAAATTCTGCTAATTGAACAACATAGACTACAAAAGTCAGAAATGTAGTGCAAGCAAATGAGAAAAAAAAAAAAAAAAAAAAAAAAGCAGGAACACACAGAAAAATAGTAGCAGCATGTGCATTAGCCTAGACCAGGCACGTATGTAGGATGTACGTATGTTGAAACAAACAAATCATATCTGTTTTCTTCTGATGTTGCACAAACCAAAGAAGCAGGGTCAGCTGTGCATAATTTATATACACGGATCATAAATCTTAACATTTGCAACAGTTTAAACATACTGCTTGCATTGATCAAACACATGAAACATTAAATTTGCTGTTGAAATACAGGAAGGCTTCCCACTTACATGTTCTAGTGTATCCTTCTAATTTACTTTAAATGATTTGAGTTACTTGACCTTCAAAAACTCCTCTGAAAGGCTGCCCTAGAGCCCAATACAATGCTGTCACAGTAAATACACTAAGGTTTTCAGTCCAAAATTTCAGATTCGATTTCTTACAGTTCTCCTGTTAAAATCCACACTTGCTTGTGTCTCTACAATCTCTATTCTCTAGTTGCTTATAGCAATTACTTAGAAATTCAGTGGTGTAGTTATAGTTTTGTGCTATAATAATTTTAACCAAAGTATTTTAAGTAATTCAAAACCATTTTATGCAAACCCCTAGAAGTATTTAGCAGTTTGCTACATATATGTGTGCAATTAGCTGAAGAGAAAATGTTGGGAAAATCATTTCCAGATCATCACAAGAACAACCTGCAGCTGAACCTACTAAGTTCACATATACAGATTTATATTTCATGTGCAGGAGAGCTATGGTGCATACACGCAAGACTCAAT